CATTTTCGGACCTGACCTAGCACTAAAGGTCATAGGCATTTATGCAGCAAAAATCATATCATAGAGAGATAATTGTTTTATATCACAATGACACACATTTTTTTTACAAGAACTGCCAATAGATGATGGCAATTTCCATTAACAAATAAAAAAAGCAATCAAAAATATATTTTTGCTTGAAAACCATAACATTTGATTAGATGATACCAAAAAAATGCCATTGATTAGCGTCATCCAATTATTAATCTAAAAATAAAAAATTGTATCAAAATAAAAATAAAGTCAGGCTACATTGTTTTGCATAAAATACACCCACACAAAACCATTTATATTTTTCAAAAAAAAAAAAAAAAATATCAATATTATATAAGGGCATAATGCAGTTTGTTTCTTTGATATTGTTAGAGAGAGAGAGAGATAGGGACCAGGGTAGGGGCGAAAAAGAAGAACACGTGAAAATGGCAAAAATAAAAATATGATGAATCATTCTGAAAATTGTAATAAATAGCTGCGCCTTAAGTGAATAGGAAAAACTGAGATATGCCACAAGAGGCGTACGTGACCAGAAATATAATTCAATATTTGCTTGAATCATAACCTTAGACAATAGTATTATTAAAAAAAAACGTCTGCTTTAAAGGGTGATCTTTGAAAAGAAAAGGAGATGAGATCTATTTGATCAGGGAGTTGCATTTTCAGACATTTTGTAGGAATTATAGAACTACATAAATATTTAAATTTAAAGGGTCAATTTAAATTGATATTTTAATCGGATATAGTTTTTATACTCTACACCACATAGGGGTAAGGGTATTATGTCTTTGTGCATTTGTTTGTAACATGGAGAAGGAAGCGAGATAGACCCATATTTACATTTGAGGATCATAGAATCACTTTCTGTGTCGATTTATGTATGTCAGTCCGTCCGTACGTCCGTCCGTGTATTCTTGTGAACAAAATTCAGGTCGCATTTATTATCCGATTGAGATGAAATTCTTCAAACAATATTTGTTTGACCCAAGGACGAACCCTATTGAAATAGGTGATAATCGGATCAGATTTGAATATAGCTCCCATATATATCTTCAAACGATTTCTGGTTAATTGTGCACCAAATGGCCAATATACGTCTAAATGACCTGAATTTTGAGACATCCAACCGAATTCAGTCTAGAAGTAAGTACATCAAATTTGGTGAAAATCGGTTCAGTTATAACTATAGCTCCGATACATAGGTTTCATCCGATTTGGTTTTTAAGTCATTTATATTCTCTTTCGTGATAGTTTATTAAGACATCTCGGGGAAATATATCATATTTAGAATATAGATTTATATTATTTTGGTCATTCGCAAATGAATTGGATTTCTTATCTATTTGACGTAAATTCTTTGGAACATACACAAAATTATTTTGTTTCCAAGCTCAAAATGTCTTTTTTCAACTCAAACCAAAAACCCTGGTGGTTTTTTGATAAATTTACAAATATTTTAATGAAATCAAGCCATTGCGGAAGAAAGTGGGCTTGAGAAAGACAGTTAAACTATTATGATATCAAAGACACCTCTACGAAAGTTCGAATCATGGTTTTTGAGGAGAGCTATTAAAATCATCAAAATACCGAATATAGGGAGGTACCATTACATGGGGGCTATACGAAGACGTGGACCTACACAGACAAATTTTTGCCATATGCAGTAGCATCCATTACAAACTTCAAATACCAAATATGAAACAATTCCGGTGAATAAAGTCGCTAAAATCGTCAAAATACCGAAAATCGGGAGGTGCCGTTATATGGGGGCTATACGAAGGCGTGAACCTGCACAGATAATTTTCTGCCATAGGCTGTAGTATCTATTACGAACTTCAAATGCCAAATTTGAAACAATTCCGGTGAATAATGTCGCTAAAATCCCCAAAATTCCGAAAATGGAAGTTACCGTTATATGGGGGCTACACGAAGATGTGGACCTGCACAGACAATTTTCTGCCATAGGCTGTAGTATCTATTACGAACTTCAAATGCCAAATTTGAAACAATTCCGGTGAATAATGTCGCTAAAATCCCCAAAATTCCGAAAATGGAAGTTACCGTTATATGGGGGCTACACGAAGATGTGGACCTGCGCAGACAATTTTCTGCCATAGGCTGTAGTATCTATTACGAACTTCCAATAACAAATTTGAAACATTTCCGGTGAATAATGTCGCTAAAATCATTAAAATACCGAAAATAGGGAGGTACCATTCAATGGGGGCTATACAAAGACGTGGAACTGCACAGACAATTTTTTGTCATATGCTGTAGCATCCATTACGAACTTCAAATACCAAATATGAAACAATTCCAGTGAATAATGTGTCTAAAATAGTCAAAATACCGAATATCGGGAGGTGCCGTTATATGGGGGCTATACGAAGACGTGGACCTGCACAGACAATTTTCTGTCATAGGCTGTAATATCCATTATGAACTTCAAATGCCAAATTTGAAACAATTCCGGTGAATAATGTCGCTAAAATCCCCAAAATTCCGAAAATGGAAGTTACCGTTATATGGGGGCTACACGAAGATGTGGACCTGCACAGACAATTTTCTGCCATAGGCTGTAGTATCTATTACGAACTTCAAATGCCAAATTTGAAACAATTCTGGTGAATAATGTCGCTAAAATCCCCAAAATTCCGAAAATGGAAGTTACCGTTATATGGGGGCTACACGAAGATGTGGACCTGCACAGACAATTTTCTGCCATAGGCTGTAGTATCTATTACAAACTTCAAATGCCAAATTTGAAACAATTCCGGTGAATAATGTCGCTAAAATCCCCAAAATTCCGAAAATGGAAGTTACCGTTATATGGGGGCTATACGAAGACTTGGACCTGCACAGACAATTTTTTGTCATATGATGTAGCATCCATTACGAACTTCAAATACCAAATATGAAACAATTCCGGTGAATAATGTCGCTAAAATCATTAAAATACCGAAAATAGGGAGGTACCATTCAATGGGGGCTATACGAAGACGTGGAACTGCACAGCCAATTTTTTGTCATATGCTGTAGCATCCATTACGAACTTCGAATACGAAATATGAAACAATTCCGGTGAATAATGTCGCTAAAATCATCAAAATACCGAATATCGGGAGGTTCCGTTACATGGGGGCCATTCCAAAACTTGGACCTACATGGCCCATTTTCAATGCCAAAAGTCCTATGGACATAATATACATTTGAGTAAAATTTTATCAACTTACTTCGTATCGTTGGGAAGATAAAGTGATTTCTACAGACGGACGGACGGACATCGCTAAATCGACATAGAATTTTATGCTGATCAAGAATAAATATATATACTTTGCGGGGTATAAAATGTATATTTCGATACGTTACAAATGGAATGACAAACTTAATATACCCTCCATTCTATGGTGGAGGGGAGGACCATTGAAGTCCACTTCACATCTGATATAAATATTACGACGTACCAGGTTCGGACTATATCGAATCCGCCACTATAAAGTGATAGCAGATATGAGTTTTTTTTTTGTCTTTGAAAAATGTTGAAGTGTTTTTGGAGGGAATCTCATAAAGAGTGGACCGGTATATACCATATTTACATTGGATCTACGGTCGATAGAAATATTAAGATGCACGAAGTTTGAAGCAAATCGCAGACCTTTTTTCGTATGTATTTACAATTATAATTATTCCAAAACTTGATCCCTTAGGAGAGGAAGGGATAAGAAGGAGTGGCCCAACTAGATCCCATATTAATATCAGACCTTGTATTGCTAGAAATATTAGCATGTGCCAAGTTTGAGAAGAATCGGATGTTCATTTTGCATTTAGAGTGGGTTAGGGTATTCAAAATGTTTACCCGTGGTGGGGCATAAAACCAGTAGGAGTGGTCTGATCTTATCCAATCTTTATTCAAGATCAAGAATTGGATAAAGTATTTGGAATATACGCTCATTATGAGGATAATTCATTTTTTTTGTGAAGGAGGTATCAGGATTATTGGTCCGATCTATTGCATATTTACAACAGAATTTGTGTTGGTACAAATGTTGGGATATGCCAAGTTTGAAAAGTATCAAATGCTCGAATTGCATTTTGTGAGGGATATTCAAAGTTTTGGTCCTTTGTGGGGGGAGGTGCCAGAAGGAGAGGTTCATTTTCATATCAGACGTAGAGGTAGAAGAAATATTGGGATATATGAAATTTGAAATTTTGTTGTGAATATTAAAAATGTTTGCCCTTTGTGAGGGTGTAGATATTGTCCATTTTCGCACCTGAACTAGTTGTGATACATATTGCAAAGTATGGATCGAGCGAACCTTTTTCTTTCTACGATGTAAAATATTTTCTTTGAAAATTTGATTTTGGCGGAGATACCTAAATGACAGATATTTCACAGCTTCGATCTCAATCTAAGTTTAATTATAATCAGGGCTGTCACAGAAACCATGTCGGTTTTGCTTATTGTCGTTTTTTTAAACCAATATTGGTTTCATTTGGTGTCATGAAACCAAGTTGGATAAAATCGGACCAGCCAAATGTCGTGAAAGGGATTTTGTCCAAAAAGACCTGGGGTCTAAAACCGTTATTTCGATCAGACACATTTTGGCCGCACCAAATAATATATATACCCTCTGTAGCCAAGCGTTTCCCCTTCAGCTAAAACAAATTGTGTAACACGCCTTAAAGTATGTTATAAAAATGCTGTTTGGTTTGGTGCTCAAACAGCACAGCCCAGTTACTTCAACATCGTTTGAAAAATAGTAGTTATCGTTCATTCAAAAAGCTAAGCCTAAATTGCCTAGTTGCTCTGACTTCGTTTTCAAAATGCTTTGTAAAATCTTCAAAGAACAATCAATCAATTCCTTAAGTTTTGGATATAATGCCTCACAACTTACGTACCTTCGGATTAAATACATATAATTTAATATTTTCTCATTTACATATATATATATTTAGCTTTGACTCACCTTACTCCAACATATCAAATTATTCGTTTCGGGATCTTCAACCAAACGCCAAAGTTTGGCCAAAAAGGCCGGCACCCCAGCCCCTGTCTCGCCGAACGTATGCATATTTTTCGATTTGCTTGAGATTTTCTCCAGGTTATCGCTTTTGGACTCCAACTTGTTGATTTGATTTGTTGTTTTGTCGATCAAGCAGCAACGGGTTTTTCTTTTTGTTGGCAATAAAAATTCAAAAACACACAGAGTTTTGAAAACAAATCACGATACCACTTCACTAACTTTGCAAGTTTTTGGTAAATTCAATACAATTTCGTTTAGCTTGGAACTGTAAAATAAAAAAGTTTTGTAATAATGGATATTTTTCTTTGTTTTTTTTTTTTCGAAATTTTTCTTGTAATTTTTATTTCTTCTCCTCACATATGTTGTTGTTGTTGTTGTTATTCTTCTTGTTCTTCTTTAACTTCGTCTTCGCTTCTTTGTATTTTGTTATAACTGAAATTGAAATATACACAAAAAAAATTGAAATTTTGGTAAAATATTGATTTTTTTTTTACAAAAAATTCGGATTTTTTTATAAAAAATTATATTTTTGTGTAAAAAATCTTATTTTTTTGTAAAAAAAAATCGGATTTTTTTTTAAATTTTTTTTTTAAAAATCTGATTTTTGCATTTTTTTTTTTTGTGAAATATTGATTTTTTACAAAAATTTAAACTTTTTATAGCACAAAAATATCAAATTTTCATCATAAAATATTTATAAATGCTGGTAATTGAAAGAAATTTTCACTTTTTTTGTCCGGTTGAATGGAATTTTTTCGATTGATTGAAAAGGAGGACAACGGAATAGGAGATTTGGAGGACGGAGCAAGGCAAGGGGTTTCTACAGCGGTGAGTTTGTGTAGTAACAGCAAATAAATTGTTTGTTTGTTTCTTGGTTTCGTCGTCTCCCGTATTGGGTTGCTTGGCATCAAAAGTAAGTTTTCCTGTTATTGTTGTTGTTGCTGGCCGAATGGCAGTCAGGCAACGATGGCAATGGATTTCTGAGATACACGTCATTAAGTAATTTTCCTTCACATCTTTGTTTCTTGGGTTTTGGAAAATCTCATTTTTCTTTTTCTTTTTTTAATTTCTTTCTTCCTTTCATCTTTTTCACATCCTTCAAAATTTTGGAATTTCATCACAACCTCATGTTGGAGACGTCACAACACTCTAGACACGCCATTTGCAATACACAAGAATCATATTTTTAACAAAAAATAAAAAAATTCCACACAATTTTTTTTCAATGAACACTTTTCATCATAGGTATATATTTTTTTATTAAACAATTATCGGCCACCATTTTCTTCAACAGCAATTGGGATCTTGAATGCGTACATTGTCGGGCTGGCTCATTGACCAGCAAACAAATAAAGCAGGCAGGCAACAACCGACCAAACAACAATCAAATGCGTTGCGGCAGCAATGCAATTCAACCATTTTACAAACAACAACGACGACTGCGACGAAGTCTACGACGATACGACCGACATACAACAACAAAAAAGTAAAAAATCACAAAAATTAACACACAATCACTTTATTTTTTTTTATTTTGTAGTAGTTTCTTCTCACTTTGTTTTTTTTTCTCTTCTGCTTCTTCTCCTGTTCAACGGCTTGGTTGGGTTGATGGTTATTATTATTATGGTTGGTTGCTTGTTATTGGTTAAACGGGCACATTCACACACACTACACACACACTAATGTCACCTGAATAATAAAAAAAAAATAAAAAACAACAACTCGACTTTGTGATGATGGTGTGCTTCTGCTGCTGCTGCCAGTAAGTAATCTCTTCAAAAAGAATGAATACGACGACCGAACGACCGACAAACACGAATGTGGTGGGACTAACCAACCAACCAACCAACCGATTGATAAATCAAGACCCCAAAGCAGACTGGCAAAGGGAAAATTTCATTTCATTCATTTGCAAATTTCACCCATTTTTGTTGCTTACATTCTTCAAATCACACTTTACACTATCTAAAACCGTTCAAGTCTCTAATTAACTGTATTCAGTTTAAGCCTGTAATTAAGAATAGATAATTTTTCAAAGCGTAATTTCTGTATTAAAGCTGGGAAAAAATTTTCTTGCTTCTTTCTATTCACACTTTAATGAAAACACTGTTGCTTAATTTGGGGCAGGTTGTGTGAACCAAACGCCACACAAACACCGTTGGCAAATTTGGTACGTAGTAGTAGCAAATGATGTTTTTGAAATTTTATACCACGTTCATATCGGCATTTGAATTACGTTACTTGGTCCATGGCACAAATACAGAAGGTAGAACAAAGCTACCACCTAAATACATATTTTTTTCTTTTTGTGTCCTTATTCTGTCAAAACATATACACATTTTGTTTATGTGTGTGAATAGCTTTGAATAAAAAATACAATAATTTGGAATTATTTTAAATTTGGTTGAAAAATAAATTCATATTTTCTACGAAATGGGTAACAAATTGTACAATTTTGTAATAAAACTGTATTGTCCTACAGGCTTTTCCAATATAATGCTAGGAACACAATTGGAGCGAACGACGAATTTCGCCCTACGCGGCGACAAAATGAGCCGCGAAAATTCGTCGTATGGAACACAATACCGACGAAATTATAAAACAGCTGATGAAGTTGTTTACTTTTTGCTCATTTGTTGACTACAATGAATTATACAAGAACACATAATTCTTTACGTTCTCTATTATAATTTCACTTATGTCCATCTTCTCTATTATAAATTCACTGATATCCATCTTCACTCAGGCGCAAGTACACAAATAAATAAACAAATTAATTATGTTTTTTTTATGCGAGTAACAGATAGTAGAGTGACCATAACAAATTTTAAAGTAAAAAGTAACTTTATTTACTAAAACACATAAAATTCGTACAAGTATGGCCACCTCGTACTGTTTTGTTCGCCGGTCGCCGGCGTATGAAATAGAAATAAAGCTAATTGAGTTCGCGGCGACCGACGAAATTTTCGCCGGTGCCGTGATTGTGTGCACTTCCATATACACATATGTGTTTTATTTTTGACGACGAACATACGCCGCGAAAAAATTCGTCGTTCGCTCCAATTGTGTTCCTAGCATAAGAACTTTGGAAAAGAAATTAAAAATAAACAAACCCAACTTGTTGACACTACAAGACTCCAGCACAGAGTTGCATTTTTCTAGTTTCTTTAAAGTTAATCAACCTTTCTTATTGAGCCATGGGTGAGGGTATAAAAAATTCCAAACTTTTCTGTAATGTTTTATATTTTCTGTAGTTTGTGATGTTTAAAGCCCATTTAGACTAGTCATTTAAATCGACCCTATTTCTGATTTGTTCTAGCTCCTCGAATTGCATCCATGTTCTCTTCTCAAGCTGGTAACCAATATTTCGATTAAACATTAAACACTTACTTAAAACAACTCCAAGCTTTGAGTTGATTGAATTTTATGTAGTAAATTTTCGTAAATTTTGGAGGATTAAATAAATATATAACTTAAATCGAAATAATAATATACAGGGTGAGATAAAAGAAGACTGCAACAAAGTCAAACGCCGTAATTTTTACATTTTTTTAATTTTATTGAATAAAAGCAAAAACTGTCGGAAATAGCATCAAATATTAGAATAAGTTTAGATTTGTTCGAATTGGTCACCTTTGACACGAATTATAACCTTCAAACGGCCAATGAAACCGTCACACGCTGCCCGAATGTTGTTCTGCGGTATTTTGGACCATTCCGGGCGAAGCGCTTGCATGAGGTGATCGACACTTTGGTATTTTTTAGGGCAAGCCTTGCTTTCCAAAATACTGCAGACAAAATAGACCAACGTATTGGTGTCCGGAGATTTTGGTGCGCATTGTTCGCTGGAAATGAAGCGAGGAACCTCATTTTGTAACCATTCTTGGGTGGCGCGTGCTGAGTGCGATGGTGCTGAGTCCTGTTGGAATGTCCCAGGTCTGCGGCCAAAATGTTTGCGTGCCCAAGGCTTTATTACACCCTCCAGAATATTTTCGCTATAATATTTGGCATTAATTCTGATGCCACGGTCGATTAATACGAGCGGAGAGCGACCATCGGCTGTTATGGCGACCCACACCATCACCATAGCCGGCGCTTGAGTTCTGGTGGCCTCTTTGGCAAGTAGACACCATCGTTTTGTTTACAAACTGCTGGACAACGAATGTTTTCCCGTAGGAGAAAACCAAATTCGGCAGTTCACCACTTTCGGCCAAGCGAAGCAACTCTTTAGTCTATTTTTTCTTTCTGTTGGGGTGTAAGCTCTTGCATTTTTTGGAATTTCAATGGGTCATGGCTACCCCGAGCTCATTTTTCAATATTTGCCGAATGGAATATTGCGATATGTTCAGCTCACGAGCCATTTTTCGGCCACTACGACGCCAGTGGTGATCGATCAAGTCGCTTCTTTACTTTTCGAACCATTTCTGCTGATGTTGCTGTTTTCTTCCGTCCACTTCCTTGAAGTGCTCTAACGATAGCCACTTGTGTAATTTTCCAGCCAAATATAAAGAAATCACACTATCACGCTTGAATTCCATCACGAATAACTGTTTTTCGGGAAAATTCTCACCAAAATGCTTTTGGACACTTGTACAATATAATGATCTGTCACTGGAATAATTTTAACACGAGTGGCTTAGAAATGACAGCAGTCTGAAGTTGGTTGCAGTTTTTTATCTCACCCTGTAGTATAGATATAGCCCGAAAGATAATTTATAGCGCATTAATAAAGTGTGATTTTTTTATTTTTTAACAATTGAGCACAGTCAAGAGCAACATTTGCATAAAATAATCTTCAAACATTAGATTTAATTGGCCGTACTATTAACTCAGATAAAGATTTCATGACTTCTTTTGTGCTTTATTCCTAACAAAATCGCCCTTTATAAATTCGTAAGTAGTCTAAACGCGTTGTTACCTTTCAAAGCCATCTGGCTACACACACGCACACCTTCGCCACAAACAGCTGATGCGTGTACGTTACGTCGCTGCACTGCCCGCCACTCAATAAATTGTATGTGGTTATTTACCGCCGCCGCCAAGTAACCTTAACAGAAAAAAGTAATCGATGTCAGTTTTTAAGAATATAGGAGAAAAAATGGCTGACTGTTTTAATATTTTTTTTTTGGTTTTCAATTGTTGAATTAATTTAATGGAACTGTTTATAATAAACAATAAAAGAAATGTTAGCATTTTTCAATTAAATGCCAATTGAAATAACGATTTGTGCCGAAGACGAGAACAGTAACGTTAACGAAGGGATTAAATGAATAGAACTTTGTAAGTGTTGAATACATACGAACAGTTCTTTTTTTTTGTTGGGCTCTGTTGGTAGGAAAGACTCAGACAACAATTTTAAGAATGGAAAAAGAAACCAAATGAAATGGAATTAAAACATAAGTGGGATGTAGAATTTGAAGTAATATATTATGTATTAAATGCCGTGCATGTTTTTGCTGTAATTATTGATTGTGTTGTTGTTTTTCAAGCAAACTAATTTCATGTAGAGTATGTAGCCAAGGTTCAGACGACGCGCCGGCTTTACATGTCATACATACATAATACATACAAGTTGAAGAGCATGCACTGAATTGTTTAATTGTGATTTGTTGTTGTTTTTTAAGAATACATATATTTTTTTAGCAAAATAGAGTTGTGTGTTTAATGCTTTGTTTTCCCTCTCTCTCTTCCTTATAGCTTCGCGCAAAAATAAATCCTTTTTAAAATTAGATTTTGAAAGTCCACAACTAAGCATTCAAAAATGATGAATAACCAGTTCAATGCTCCAAACTTACCGGGAGTTCAGGGCCAATTGCCACATGGCCAAATGGCTCAACATGTTGCGGTTTCACCACCTCAAAGCAGTGTTTTGAGTTCATTTTACAGCCATCCACATCAGCAGCAGCACCAGCAACAACAACAACACCATCATCCCCCTCACACACAACAGACCCATGCACATCCTCATCACACGCAGCAACAGTTATCTGCTGCTGTGGCGGCTTCAGGTGGTTTGTATGCCGATCCCAGGCAATTACAGCTAACCTCCAGTCCTCTAGAGAAGGCTTTTTACACCACAACAGCGGCGGCAGCTGCCTTGGGAACACCACAGCAACGTTTCTATACCACAGCTCCGGGTACAGCCTTGGCAACAAGTCCTCCCACCGGACATGCTCATCCCAATACAATATTGATTACAAATAATTTTGCATCGCATCAACACCAAGCACCAGTACAAAGTCCAGAGCAACAAAGACTAACAGCTGCCTTGAATCAAGGCAATATTCGAATTGTTACCTCCTCCTCAGCAGCGGCCGGAAATCCAATAGCATCAAATTTCCAGCAGCAGCCAGCTCCTCAGCATGTTTTCAATTTGAATAACTCGAAAACTTTACAACACATTTTCCCACAACATCTATTGCAACAGCACCAGCAGCAGCAACAACAACAAAATTTCCATCACACCCCAGAATTGTTGGCACAGCATCATTTCACCACAGCCCAACAACATTTTGCGGCAGCACCATCTGCTCAAAATGCCGCGGCAAACACAACTCCCCTTCATATGCCTCAATACTATGTAGCCAATGAATCGCCCAGCATTGGAAATTCCAAAATATTGGCAAATATACCCAGCACCACCACAAACCAAATGCAAGTCTCAGGTGGAGGTGGTGTTGGTGGCTCTAGTGCCGGGCCAGGAGCACAACTGCCCACAAATGCGGGAAATTCCTCAACCGTGGTATTGGATCGCATAAATATATGCATTAATAATTTATATACCGATACCACTTCCTCATCATCCAACTCCAATTCGTTGGCCTCCACTCCGGCCCAGCAACCCTCACCCATAATACCAGCCATACAACACAAGGCCATAATAGAAAGTGGTCCACCGCTGCCACCCTCCTCGGTCAGTTCCAGCGAAATCTATGAATCAAATGCTTTGGTGATTGATGAACCAGATTCGACTACTACGGCGACCACTCCTCACACCCCACCCACAACACCCGAAAATACTCCCCCCACAGCCTCTTTAAATTCAGCGAATAAATCCCATGGGAATAGCATCAGTACAACGACGAGTAACATAAGTAGTCCAAGTACTTCATCATCGACGTCGGTGTCAGCATCAAATCCTGGCATCCAGAGTTCCCATAACATTAGCACAACCAAGCAAAATTTTGCAAATGTGGCCCAAAATATAGAAGAAATGGCCCAGGAGGAAAATGAGGAGAAGGAGGTGGTGGTGGTGGGCAGAGGGGCCAATAAAGTCACAGCCATAACATCGAGTAACACAGGAGCAATGGCCCCAGTCAATGCGCCTCTTACTCCACCCACACCACCCTCACCGGAAGTGAAAGTGGGAACTCATAACAACTGCACAATGTCCTTATCTGCAACTCCCCCTCCACCAACAACACCGCCACCGCCGCCACCCTTTATAAATGGTGAAGATGTTTTTATCAAACGCCAAGATGGCCGTTTCTATTTGGGAACAGTCATTGATGGAGCCCAAAATCAATTTCTGATACGTTTCGATGATAAAACCGAACAATGGTGCAAGGCCGAGGAAATGCGTAAACTTGGCGGTGCTGGCAATGATTCCACGGCACATTCCAGCAATCAGGCAAAAGACCAGGCCATGTGTGTGGCATGCAAACAACAGCAGCCCGATTCAAAAGTGGAGATTTGTGAACGTTGTGGCCGGGGTTATCATCGGAAATGTACCCTGGAAACGTCAAAGAATAGTGGAGTATGGTTATGCAAACGTTGTGACAAGCCCATGAAGCTGGGCTCACACTCCGACGATGAAGAGGAGGAAGAGGAGGAGGTCGACGACGACGATATGGAAATTGAACCTTTACAGGTTGAGGAGGCTTGTCTTCAATTACCATATGATGTGGGTATTGCAATCGTGCCATTTAATTTCCCTTAATGAATTGTTTATTTTTCTTTTCAGCTCAATTCCCTTAGCTGGGACAGCAAACATCGGGTGAATGAGCAACAAATCTATTGTTATTGTGGCAAAGCGGGAAAATTCGATCACAACATGTTGCAGTGCTGGCATTGTCTCAACTGGTATCACATTGAGTGTTCGCAGAAATTCAAGGGCAGCCTTCTACGAGGAGATGTGTAAGTTTCCACTACGCCATTTCGCGATCTAATAAACAAATTGTAATGTGTTTCGAATTTGCAGCTTCTTTGTATTCTGCTGTACGGTGTGCAACAAGGGTGAGGAGTATTTAAGGCGCCTGCAAATCGATTGGGTGGATCTGTTGCATTTGATTATCTACAATCTGTCCACCATGAAGAAACATCAAAATCACAAATATCATCATTTGCTAAAGGACATTTTCCCCTTTGCCATGGAGAAACGTATCAGTTTGCCCATAGCTAAGGAGGTAAGTAGTAGTAGTGTTAGTACCGTAAAATGTATAAAACCCCATTTTAATTTCAACTTTATTTTCCAGTGGAAATCCATGCCCGAAAATGAATTTCTGGAAAAACTGAAAAACACTCTAAAGGATAATACCGAACGTTTTGTGGGTGGCAAGGAAATTAAAAGGGATCACTACTTCTTTGCCCTGCGAACAAATGGACCACCATTTGTACAACCCATAGCGTTGGAGAAAGATCAAATTATAAATGATGATTTCATTCTCAATGATTTGAAACTAAAACTTCTACCCGAGGCTCCAGAAAATCAGGATGTTCAATTTAACAAATCCCATGAAATTCTCAATCAAACACCCACCTCAAAACCCAAAGCATTGGGGGATAAATGTCCCAGGGATATTTATGCATTTGATGACACCTCCGATGATGAGATACCCATAAAAATTATTTTGGATAAGGCCAAGAAGAAAACCAAAAGCCTGGAAAATTTAACAGAAATGGAGGAACAAAAGAGTGAACACAAAATGATCCCATCAACATCAACGCTGGAAAAACTCGATGTGGAAGATGATAATGCCAACGATGCAATACTCAGTATTAATAATAAAACCGAAGATGCCAAGGCAACTATAGCCAGTTCGCCCAAAAAGGAAGAAAGCAATGAAAAACCGATAACAGAAACAACGACTGCCCGAGAGAAAAGTTCGCGGAAACGCAAAGCCTTCTCCCTTACCAAAAGCTATGTGGAAAAACAGCGATTAATCGATTCATCTTCGGATGAAAATTCTAGCAGCAGTTCGCGCTGTACCTCACTGGATTTGATAATACCGCCGCCAAAAAACTTTTTGGGGCAAAATAATCCATTTCGTATGATCACGCCCAAGAAGAAAAGTCCCCAATCATCATCGGCGACGGCCAGTGGCAGTGGTACGGCCGGTAGAAAATCCGTTAGTTTTGGTCTGGTCAATGGCTTGGATTTCAGTTCGAATTTGGCGGCGCTGAAAACGACGGGATTGTTTCCTAAACTAAGCTCCAAGGCTGCCGGTCAGCCGAGGACCGTGAGAACCATTAAACGAAGACTGAGTGCCAAAGATATAACAATTGGACCGAATCAAGAAGTGCGTCGAAGGCGTATACGCAGACAGTCAGCCAATGTTGAGGTGAGTCAGAGAGGGAGGGTATATATCATTTGATACGGCCGAAATGTGCCTCATCGCAATATCGGTATTAGACCAAATCTGTTTTAGGATATTTTGAGTCGATCTAACGATGCCCGTCCGTCTGTCGGGCTGGCTGGCTGGTGCGTCACATCTCAATATTTTCATCAACACAAGATGTGTCATAAAGATGGTAGAGATCGGATCATTTCTTCTGGGACTTCCCCCACAAAGGGTCAAAGTTTTGAATATCTAAAATGATCATAAAATCCGAAATAAGCATCCGATACTATTCAATTTACACATATCACAATGTTTTTATTAATTCAAGGTCTGGGGTGAAGTTGAAATATATCGGTCCACTCGTTCTGGTACCTCCCCCACAAAAAGGGTCAAAGTTTTGAATAACCTAAACAATCATAAAATCTGAAATAAGCATCCGATCCTCTTCAATTCACACATGTCACAATATTTTTTATTAACCCAAGGTCTGGGATGAAGTTGGAATATATCGGTCCACTCCTTCTGGTACCTCCCCCACAAAAAGGGTCAAAATTTTGAATATCCATGGAGATCATAAAACACAAAATTAACATCCGATTCCATTCAGACTTGGCACATCTCAATATATCCATCAAAACAAGATATGTCATAAAGATGATACAGATAGGACCATTTCTTCTGCTACCTCCCCCACATAGGGTTAAAGATTTGGAAAACAAAACTCTCAAAGAAAGCGAAACTTCACACATCCAAATATTTTTCCTAACGCAAGATCCGTTGTGAATATGATATATATCTGTCAAATCCTTCAGGTACCCTTCATCCAAAATGTTTGCGTGCCGAAGGCTTTAATACACTCTCCAGAATATTTTCGCGATAATATTCGGCATTTATTCTGAGCGGAGAGCTGTTATTCTGAGCGGAGAGCTGTTATGGTGGCCCACATCATCACCATGGCCGGCGCTTGAGTTCTGGTGGCCAACCGAGGTGCACATTTTCAGTTGATCTCTTTGGCATGTATACACGATCATTTTGTTTGTTTACAAACTGTTGGACAATGAATGTTTTCTCATCGGAGAAACCCAAATTCGGCAGTTCACCACTTTCCAAGCCAAGCGAAGCAACTCTTTAGCTCTTTTGAGTCTATTTTCTTTTCGTTGCGGTGTAAGTTCTGCACTTTTTTGGAATTTCAATGGCTTTACCTCGAGCTTATTTTTCAATATTTGCCGAATGGAATATTGCGATATGTTCATCTCACGAGCCATTTTTCGGTCACTGCCACGAGGGTTTCGATCAAATCGCTTTTTTTACTTTTCAAACCATTTCTGCTGATGTTGCTTTTTTCTTCCGTCCGTCGGGCTACGCTACCAGTATCACGGTAACGAGCGATGGTATGAGACACAAAAGATTTATTCACATTTAAATACTGGAGTGCTCTAACCATGACCACTTGTGGATGGCTTAGAAATGACAGCAGTCTGAAGATGGTTGCAGTTTTTTCATCTCAACCTGTACATCTGTCGACAAAACTGACTGATACTATTTTTCAAATTTCCTCCATAAATTGTTTTTTTTTTTCTTTTTCTCTGTTTTTATTTCCAGGTCATTAGTACAACCACCATAAATCCTATTCCAACAAATTATTATCCCATACATGCCAAAGATTTATTAGCAGCTGCTGCAGCCTCCACAACAACGGCTGCCTCATTATTTCAAAATACAACAACAGCGTCAATTTCAAAATCATCAATCTCTTCAATTTCAAATTCAGTTAATTTGCTGGCGGCGGCCAATAACAGTCCATCGTCGAGCTCCATATCTCCGACTAGCACAGAGGCGACAGCAGCGAAAGATATTACAAATGCCGAATCAAAACCCATAATACCCACACATGGTCGCCGCCTAAGACAACGACCACCAAAAAGTTCCCCCAACACCAGTCGTCGAAATTCAGTCTCCTCAAATCAATCATCCGCCTCATCGACGATCACAAATTCCTCCTCATCGTCATTGTCATCATCCGCACATGCTCCGCCAGCCTCGTCGAACGCACAGCAATCTCATGAAGATTTAAAACAAACTGTTAATAAATATTTTGGTATTGTTAATCGTATCGAATCGGGAGAACAATTCTCCATACGTGCCAAACGTAAGCTACCCAATGGCCAAATGCAGTATTTAATAGAATGGGGTAGTGAACAACAACAACAACATCCGCCACAGACGCATCAGGAATTTTCAAATAATAAATTATCCCCCAAGGAGGAGAATCCTAGCCAAAATGCAAAAGAAACCAACGAATTGGAAAGCGAGGAAGCAGCCACAACAGCAGACAGGGAAAACACCAGGCAAAATGCAACACCACCGGGCGAAGAGGTGGAAATGGACCAAGCAAGTGTTTAAGACATAAGGAATATCAAACAAACCACATATTTGAGAGAGATAGAGAGAGATAGAGAGAGAGAGAGAGAGAGAGAGAGAGAGCAAAAAAGGTTGTACACCCCCCTCATTTCTAGGTATTCGTCTTTGTGAAATAATTTTGGCTTTAAAAAAAATAACTAAATTTTATTAAGTGTTTTTGGTGAGTTGTTGTTCTTTAGTATATGGTTAATATATTAGATGCCTATTACTCTTTGGTTACATATGTCATGTCTCCATCATCCCCCAACCTCCCATTATTATTATTTTTTTTTTTTTTTTTGGAACCATGTTATTTGTAATGTCTTTATTTCAAGTTCTCCTTTTAATTTGTTTTCCATTTTCCTCCTTTTTAGTTTTAAATGAATTTCATTACAAGTTGTTTGTGAAAAATATGAAGTCTCCATTTCTCTTAGTACAAAACCAATAAAACACCCCAGAATGGAATTGATGACCCAACATTTTTTTTTAAGTAAAGAACCAGAGGAGCCTTTGGAGGTTATGTTTTTTCAATGGAATATGAAATGCTTTGAAAAAAAGCTTTTGTCTAGGAATTTTGTCCTAGGATATTTAGTATTCCGAAATGGTTTACATATGTCCAAGTTTAAGTATATCCAGACTAGACCAGACTAGACATTGAAAGGTTGTGTAGGCCAATCATAAGAAGAGTACCGCCCTCTTGCATTCCCTGTGAATGTTATATCCCACCTTCTGACGTAAAAAGACACTCTAGAATGAAATTGATGAGACAACATTGCTCTTGCTCTCCCTGTGAATGGGATTTCCCACCTTCTGACGACCAAAATCCAAGTGTTGAAGGCCGAATAGCAAGTTTGTGAATTTGTAGCCCTATCCTTTAACAAATACGGTTGCCTTATTCACGACTGGGACCTCCTTGCAAAAAAATGGCAATGAAGGTGGTCAACTCGTTGGTATGGAACCTCGAAATTTTCAATATTTTCAAAGTTTCCACGTTCAGACTAGACATTGAAAGGTCGTGTGGCCCATCACAAGAAATGTACCTCGTTGGTATGGAACCTCAAAATTTTCGATATTTTCAAAGTTTCTACGTTCAGACTAGACATTGAAAGGTCGTGTGGCCCATCATAAGAAATGTACCTCCCTCTAGCTCTCACCTTCTGACATCCAAAGTCTTGTGTTAAAGGCCGAAGACTTTAAGCATGTATCTGGAGTTTGTTGCCCCAACCTTTAAGAAATACGGTTGCCTTATTCACAACCGTGACCTACTTGCAAAAAATTGTCAATGTCTCACTCTTTTGGGCTGTTCCAGAACTGCAAGAATGTAAACGTTTTTATTACAATAATCGATTTTCCCTCTATGATACCGAAAAAAATTGCAAAACTAGTAGAATCTTTGCAGGTTCTGGAAAAGACCAAAAAATTTTTTGAACTGCAAGAATGAAAAAGTTTTTATTACGATAATTGCTTTTCATTCTATGATATCGAAAAAAATTCCAAAAACTAGTAGATTCTTGCAGGTTCTGGAAAAGACCAAAAAATTTTTTGAAAGGAGGTCGGAGGAGGAAATAAGAAAGCTTCAACAGAGTCAAATGCCATAATTTTTACATTTTTTTTTTTAAATTTTATTGAATGAAAGCAAAAAATGTCGGAAATAGCATGAAATTTTAGAATATGTTTAGATTTGTTCGAATTGGTCACCTTTGGCACGAATTATGGCCCTCAAACGGCCAATGAAACCGTCACACGATGCCCGAATTTTGGCCCATTCCCGGCGAAGCGCTTGCTTGAGGTGATCGACACTTTGGTATTTTTTTTAATGCCAATCTTGCTGGCTGGCGGATTGGTATCCGGAGATTTTGGTGGCCATTGTGCGCTGGATGTGAAGTGACGAACCTCATTTTGTAACCATTCTTGTGTGGCTTCAGTTCCAGTAAATCAACTGTTTTTGACATTTTGGTGTCTCAGTGGTTATTTTAACTCCTCGCAAAAAATTTTCAATGTTGGCCAATTTTTTTGGCATAGTACAATTATAAGAGTGCCTCCTGATGTTCGGTGTTGCGAAGATTTCAGCTCGAAATTTCCAAACAAATCAGCTCTATTTTGACATTTTCGGTTTCTCCGTGGCTACTTTAACTCCTCACAAAAATATTTGATAAATATTCACATTTTTGGTATAGTACAATTATGACGGTACCTCCCCATTTTTGTCATTTTCATGATTTTGGCTCCTAATTTCTAACTAAATTAGGTGTAGTGTGATATTTCAAATCCTTTGTGCGTAGCTTAACTCCTCGCAAAAAAATGTTTAGTGTAATCCTATTTTTTGGTGTAATACAATTATAAGGGTGCCTCCCGATGTTTGGTATTTTCAATATTTCGACTTCTATTCCAACCAAGTCACCTGTTTTTTGACATTTTGGTGTCTCAGTGGCTATTTTAACTCCTCGCAAAAAATATTCAACGTAGGTCCACTTTTTGGCATAGTACAATTATAAGGGTACCTCCCGATTATCCATATTTTGAAGATTTCTGCTTCAAATTTCCAAACAAATCTGTTGTATTTTGACATTTTTGGTTTCTCTCTGGTATTTTAACTCCTCGCACAAAAAATATTTAATAACTATTTACTTTTTGATATAGTACAATTATAAGGGTACCTCCCGATTTTCGGTATTTTTAAAGTTTTGGCCCCAAGTTTCCAAACAAATCTGCCGTATTTTGACATTTTCGGTTTCTCCGAGGTTATTTTAACTCCTCGCAAAAAATATTTGATAAATATCCACATTTTGGTATAGTACAATAATAACGGTACCTCCCCATTTTCCTTATTTTCATGATTTTGGCACTTAATTCCTAACCAAATCAGATGTAATTTGATATTTTAAATTATTTGTGGTTAGTTTAACTCCTCGGAAAAAATGTTCAATGTAAGCCCAATTTTTGGCATAGTACAATTATAAGGGTACCTCCCGATGTTCGGCATTTTGAAGTATTTCGGCTCCAAATTTCCAAACAAATCAGCTGTATTTGGACATTTTCGGTTCCGCTGTGGTTATTTTAACTCCTCACCAAAAAATATTCAATAAACATTCACTTTTTGATTTAGCCCCTTTTAATTGTACTTCCGGATTTTCTATATTTTGAACATTTTGGTCCCTAATTTCAAGCCAAATCAGCTGTTTTTTCACATTTCGGTTTCTCCGTGTTTTTTTTTTTTAACTCCTCGCAAAACATATTTATTAAAAAAACCGCTTTTTGGGATGAACCTTTATATTAGGGTACCCTCGGATTTTCAATATTTTTAATGTTTGATACCTATTCAAAAACAAATCAGCTGTTACTGCAGATTTCCCAGTTCTCAGTGGGTATTTGACGTACTCACGAAAAAAATATTCAATGAAGCTCAAGTTTTTGGTGTAGCGCCTTTTATTTATACCTCAGAATTTTCGTTATTTTGAAGATTCCGGCTTCAATTTCCAATGATATCAGCTTTAACTTGAGTCTTCGGATTATCAGTCGATATTTGAACTCCTTACCAAAAAATATTCAATGTAGGCCCACTTTTTGATAAAGTACAATTAGAAGGGACCTTCTGATTTTCGTTATATTCAGAGTTTCGGCACCAAGTTTCCAAACAAATTAGCTTTGTTTTGACATTTTCTTTTTTTTTGTGGCTATTTTAACTCCTCGCTCCTGAAATACCCACTTTTTTGTACAGTCCCATTTAATTGTACCTCCAGATTTTCTGTATTTTGAACGTTTTGGCTCCTAATTTCGGACAAAATCCGCTGTTTTTTCACATTTCGGTTTATCAATATTAACTCCTCGCAAAAAGTATTTAAATATTCAATAAAGCTCAAGTTTTTGGCCCTTATAATTGCCCCCGGATTTTAAGTATTTTGAAGATTTCGGCTTCAATTTCCAACAACATCAGCTTTAACTTGAGTCTTCGGATTATCAGTCGACATTTGAACTCCTTGCCAAAAAATATTCAATGTATGCCCACTTTTTAATAAACTACAATTAGAAGGGACCTCCTGATTTTCGATATTTCGGTTCCAAGTTTCCAATCAAATCTGCTGCATTTTGATATTTCGGTTTCTCTATGGCTATTTTAACTCCTCACTCCTCAAATATCCACTACTTGGTATAGCCCCTTTTAATTGTACCTCCAGATTTTCTGTATTTTGAACGTTTTGGCCCCTAATATACAACCAAATCATCTGTAATTTGACATTTTGTGTTCTCAGTGGGTATTTGACCTTCCCGCGAAAAAAAAATTATTCAAAAAAGCATCAGTTTTTGGTCTTGCTCCTTTTTATAGTCCCTCTGGTTTCGTGGAATGTTGAACGTCTTGGGCCCCAATTTCTCACAAAATCATTTGTAATCTGACATTTTGACTTTCCAGGGTGTAAACTAACTCCTTGCCGAAAATATTCATTATCGGTTCACTTTTTTTGGTATAGCCCCATTTTGGCTTAACAACTTGTTTTACCCCATCACTGCCTTCTTTTTGACTATTTTTTACAAAATACACATATTTTCTTTTTATTAAAAAAAAAAACTATATTTTATAGACTGCCTCATTTTATTTTAGTTTATTAATAAAAAATAAAAATATTTTTTTTTAAAATAAATATATATATTTTTTTTAAATAGTTACATAAACATATTACAGGATTTTAAGTGTGCAATTGGCTGAAGTTAATAATCTTTTTAATAATAATAATAAACAAAAAAAACAATAATTAAAATATGTAGAAATGAAACAATATGTCTCATAATTTAATAAAAAAAAATAAACTTGATTTATAAGAAATTGAAATGATTTGTTTAAATGTCTTAATAAAACTATGAATTTGAATACGCAACCCAACACACAAATCTAGAACAAATTTTTTCACTTTTTTCGTTTTATTTTTTTTAGTTTTAAATAATCTTAAAAAGATTAACCCCCCCTCCCCATGTTTTAGGCAAAAATTCAAAATTAAAAGAAAAAAAGGAAAAAAAATTCCTCTGTGTAAAAAAACTACATTTTGTTATTAAAAAGAAAAAAACTTACTGTTTATCTTAGCCTAAGTTATAAATGATTTTTAATATTAATTTAATTTACCCATGGAAAAAATATCCAAGAAAAAGTAGTTATTTTCATAAAATAAAAAATAAGACACATATTAAAAAACACATAACACAAAGCATTGTATTACCTAAGTGTTTAGACTTAAACTTAAAACAAAAATATATTCATAACAAATAAAAAAAAAACAATGTAAATTATTAAATTTATTTTGATTTTTTTAGTTTTCTCAAAATTTTTTGTAAAATATTTTTTTAACTTTTATTTTAACAAAATTGAGAACCACATCCCTTTTTTTAAACCTCAATTTAGTATTTTAATTTCCTCAAAATTCTTGTAAAATATTATTTTTAAAAAAAAATTAAGATGCTTTTTAATATCATTTAAT